AATGCTTCTGAAATGCTGATTGGTTTGTGTTTTCCTTCCCATTCCTTGTGGTCCATAATTGTACAATTAACACAAATGGGAATTTTACAACTTGTACAGTAAAATTCCAAAGGTTTAGTGTGAAGAAAACACTGCGGCCGATGTAATGAAGCTTTTTGTGTGGGACAAAAAGCTTCATTGCGTGATCGTAAATTCTCCACTGAATGTAGCTTGTGATTTGCAAAGAGCCTGAAGTCTCTGTGATGATCACTACAGGCAGAGCACAAGTACTGCCTGCATTCCTGGCAGTAGTATTCAGACTTCCCTTTTTTACAAACACATTTTGTCTGATCTCTTTCTGGCAATTGTTCAATAGTTTCTAATAAGTTATTTATAAAAGTATTTGGTGGAAGCTTCTGAAGCCCGCCCTCTGGAAGGCGGTATGATTTTGAGCATGTTGGGCAAGTCAGCTTACCCTTCACCTTAACCCAATCTTCAAGACATGCCAAACAGAAACTATGAAGGCAGTCGAGTAATTTAGGATTTTGAATTCTCTTAAAGCAGATAGTACACTCTAGGACCTTCTCATCAACATTTTCCAGAAACTGATTCAGCTCACTTGTAGCCATTTTGAAGTAAAATCCTGTGAATTACAAATTATTTGTATGAGCTAGTATTGTACAGGTAATAATCAAGATACAAAATAATCATTTAATTTTGATGATGATGGGCCAGGCCACTGGTGCTTGTCGGTAGATGTGGCTGGTGCCATTTTTATTTAAGCTATATCTTACCAGCTCTGGCAGAACCAGCAATTTGTTGGAAAAATTCAAAATTGGGTTTTGGTGTTTTTGGATTCTGTATGAATTTGATGGAAATTGGTTGAGTATTAACAAATGAATATTCATTGGATATCAGACATGTAGGTCTTAAAACACAGATTCCAAAGGTTCCAAAATCAATAGTTATTGATTTGTATTTTTTAAATAATTTTAATATACTTTATTTACATTTAGTGATTGATGTTTTGCAGAAATATTCTTTACTATACTGTGTCTTCTTTTATAAAATGCCAACACATAAAAATGTTCAAAATTCTGATTCTTGAACATTTTTATGTGCTTCTGGGAAATCAGAAATCACAAACTGAGGATTGGTCATATACCATACTTGTGCAAATATGCACCTGGGTGCTTATTAAAATATAGTTTGCAATCTTTAAGAGACACTTATTCAGGGCACTTATTCAAACGGAGCGCTTGTTCGCGCTATTACAATATATCCAAACATTTTGGTTTTGGCTCTCAGCTTTATAGATTGAGTCCAATCCTATAGGAATTCTATTGAATATTTTCAAAATAAAAATACTTCCTAATCTGTTTTAAATTTACAAAATAATATGGTATGCTTATTGATTTTATGGTCTGCAGGAGCATACCTTTGAATTTTAAATAATGTATGATGAAAAGAACGGCCCTACACATAGCCAGGTGTTTCAATTGATTTTTCAGTCTGACAAATAAATATCCACTGACTGGAACATTCTTAAAAGGTACCGTAGCCTAAAGAAATATATTAACGATAAGTGGGTTTTTTTGTTTCTAATTTTCCTTTAAATCATTTAGTTATTTAAATAGGCCCTTTCCTACTGAACAACATAAATTAATGAGATGTTTACCTTAAAGTTCTCAGTTCAACCTAATGTAGAGTACAAGTAAAATGTCTCCGACAATAGAAATGGGTTTTTCCAGGTTTATCTGTGACCTAGCATAGATCGATATTGATTGTGCAGTAAACCGTGTCTTCAATGAATGAGACTATTGAACTGTTTTTAATTTCAATAGTCATAGAATAATTGAACAAAGTCGCATCAAAAAGCTTTTCATTTTTTCCTCATAATTATTCTCAATCACTTTTCCGCTTATTTTCTCCCAGTTCTTTTTCCTCATCTATTTTTTGTCTTCTCATCTCTTTTACTGTCCATATCCTCTAGTTCTCCATTTGTTTCTTTTCTTTTCTTCTCCTATTTAGGTCAGAACCTAAAAAATTATTTAAAATTTTTTGGTTTGTACCTAGAAAAACCTGACCGAGTTCGAACTGTTTTATAACCCGTAACATCCTGGAGCCTACAGGAGACATCCTCCAAGCTGAAATGACTGTGATTAGTGATATTGGAAAGTACCGAAGATGTACTACTGTTTGAAACGAGCTGCAAACCAATGCAATCTTTAACGTATCGGTAAACTTGGCACAGCCTCAGTTTATGATGATGATGGTGTTTACAGCTAATAAACAAATATCATTGCATTTCGTTGGTCAATTCTTTATTCAGTTTCTCCAGAATTTCAAATGTTGGATTGTTATTTTTTTTTATAGAAGTACTCTTCATTTAGCAAAGTAAAACACAATTTCTAAAATATTTGATTTCATTACAGTACATTCGCAAACATAAACTTCCATCAGAGATAACTTTTTGAAATATATATTTTCTCCAAAAGTCAAATGAGTTATAGATGATTTTATTACAGTGCTAAAGTTCTCTTGCCATTTGTTTTGTAAAATTATTAATACAACACCAGTAGGCCTTTTAGATAATTGGATAACATTGAAAGTTACATCAATAAATAATGATGATGATGATGATATAGGGATAATGATGATGATCATCATCATGGTCATGTTGATGACGACAACGGAAACGACGGCGGATAATGAAGATGAACCATAGTGTCCATTAAAAGCTCATCATTTATCTGTCAACACTATTAAAGTTTGTGACAAAAAAGGTGTGGTATGCCCATATTTGGGTGTAATATGACATCACCATACCCACATTTTGCATACATCACAAACTGTCACATGAATTTAGGTATTGTGGACAGAACATTAGACAAAACTACTGACAAAATGATGACAGATCTGCTTGGTATACTTTCCCAATGCTCTGTCAACTTTTCCAAAAAACATTTCCAATACTGTCAACTGTTAATTTTGTACATTCCTTATATCAGCATTCTGTAAACTGATACCACAAATTCTGCCATGCGACTAGATTCCAGTCCCTAAATTTTGTCTTAATCAGTAAAAAACTAAAATATATCGATTTTGGCACTAATGGCGTTCCATAAACCCGTATACAACGACCGACCTACAAATACTGTACATGAATATTATCAATTAGCCAGACGCTGGTGGCGCTCTTTGGAATTATCTAACCAAGAACCAAGACACCCAATTCGAGACTTGCGGCCCATATATTTTATTGAGAATACATCCGCCACTACTATTGACATCATAACCAATGATTTCAAATCAGGTATTATCACTACTGACATCTCTGATCATCTTCCTATCTTCATAATCACTGATATACCTATAACCCCACCCAAACGTAAGGCAATACATCAATTAGACTAATTAATGAACACTCAATAAAAATGCTGATGAGGCTTACACTATATTTATTAATAAGTTAAACTTATTGATTCTTCCATCCCGTTAATTAATGTTAAACGAGATAAGAAAGGAATTTTACGATCTATCAATAAAAAGAATAAGCTATAACTATATCGTGATATCCATTACGTTATGGTAATCAAAATATATAGAAGTAAGCTCAATCATCGTTAGGTTTTGTAAGCGTAAATATTACTCTGATCGTTTATACGACTCCCGTCACCACTCACGAAGAAACTGGATTATTCTAAATGAGTTACTTGGTAAAACCAAAACTAATGTTATCCCGGATACTGACAACAGTGCACACACCCGTATATCGCTGATGTATTTAACAACCACTTTAATACAATTTAGGGGCGGATTTAGGGGGGACCCCTTTTTGGGAGGTCAAAAAACAAAGAAAGGAAAAGAAAAAAAAGGATAGCCCAGAACGCCTCAAATGTTATTTTCGGGCGTCTAGAACACAAACATTTCGAGGGGGCATGCATCCGGACCCCCTAGGGTGGTGTTGTCTCGTCGGCCCAACATTCGCCCCCCCCCCCACTTTTGGACATCTCTGGATCCGCCCATGCAATTGGTGTCAAACTCGCTGACAAAATTAATTGTAATAGTAATGCTAATTTGAATGATTATTTAAAAGGAAACTATGTAAATTCACTTTTTCTTCTACTGATATGGAAGAAATTGTCAAAATTTTATCTAAAAATGAAATACTCAAATTCTGAAAGTGCTGATGCAATTACAAGTAAAATTCTGAAGTGTATTATCCAATATCCATAGAGAAAAAAAAATATCTATTTTCTCTATGATTATCCTATCTACTGCTTCTCTTATCAGTCATATATTTAATTTGTCTCTCTGCTCTGGTGTAGTTCCCACGCTAACTAAAATTGCAAGACTTTTTCCAATATACATATCAGGAGATAAAAATGATTTAAACAATTATAGGCATATATCTATATTGCCTCCAATTCTCTAAGATTCTTGAACGAATAGTTTGTAACAGACTTTATGCATATTTTGCAGGGATGGCGCCAGCGGGGAGGGGGACAGGACCACCTCCCCGTCGGAGAAGGCTCCCCCAACACCGTCGGGGAGAAAAAGCACAATTCGTCGGGGGAAAAAAATTATGTGTATTTTCTGAAACATATGTAACAGTATGAAACTGAATACGTAAGATGAAGTATATATATATATGTATACGTATATGTGTATATATATATGTATATATATTATATAACATTTATTTGATCATATATTTATGGCACTCCTGTCTTCCTCGGCCATTAACATATCATAAGCCAGTTTTTGTAGTCAAATGTAAATTAATGATTTCTTTTTAGTTGGAAGAAGTTGATTTCTTTAATCCCTTAAAATGAGATATTCATTGAATTCTTAAGGGTTTTTTTTTTTCCTTTTTTGTTTGTTTGGTTGTTTGTTTTTTAGCACGGACGTACAATACTAAGATTGCCGTTCGGTTCCTCTACCAAAACACCGAAATGAGACACTACTGGTTTAAGGGCCTGGGAGCGCTTTTTTGGTAACATGTTGGCTATTTACACATGTAATCTTTATTTATAATTATACGGATTGTCGTGGGTTGTTTAATTCCAAGAAAGGCAACAATTATAACATTTGAAAACGTTCATAAATCGCTTTGAAATTTATAATTTTGTTCAATAATAAACGTGGAATATTTCAAGACACCAGGTTTGAATGTAAGTAGAGAACAGTTACGGTTTTTAAGGCAATAGTTTAGGTCGAACAAGGTGCGTGGTACTAGGCCCTCGTAGGTAGGTAGGTAGGTAGGCTGGCTAGGCGGTTGTCGAGTGTTGTTGTAGTAGATCACCTTCAGTATGGTTCGCGACCCACGGGAATGTGTGGATGGGTCACATGGATCATCTGATCTCTTCGGGTTGTATTATTTGCTAATCCTGAAGTGTTGTTAGGGTGGTATTTATACTGTGATTTTGTTTTGTTTCTATTTCAATTTATCACATGAGTAGTAATAAATGATAGTAATGCAGTAATTTGCTTGCCTTAGAGTACATAATAAGTAGGGATAGGCATAGTAAGTGCTACCTACAGTACAGTAATTTTTCACGAAGTATTTTTGTAATGATTATAGTTAGGGCGCAGCCTTCGAACCCTAACATAGGCAAGTTCGAGTTTTAGCCTGCAAGATAAACACTTTGTAATTATAATAAGAATTTTAATAGGGTGAGTGGTGGTCGAAAGGAGTTTAACATGACCTTCAACGTAGAAGGGTCTGCATATTGAAAACTTGGTCACATCTGAGTTGGCATGCCCCCACACACGCCGTTAAGCACAAGAAAAGCACAAGAAAAGCCAAGAATATTGCATAAGGTGGGCTAAATTCGAGCATTGTTGTCCAATACACTTAAACTTCCTATGGGTTCACATGGAATTTGAAAGTAAATATATTATCTACTTTCTTTTTCGAATGATGCTAAATTCAATCACCTTCTTAAATATTTGGAATGCACTTTTGAACAGGAAACATGCATTCTGTTCCTTGTAGAATAGGAAATGGGCGTGATTTGTGTCGATTTAGAAGAGGTCCACCTCACTAAATCAAGCCTCAAACATAAACAAGATAGATGTCAACAGGGCCAGGTCGAAATAATAGTATATTTAATACCCTTTCTTGTAATATTCACGTATAAGACGGCAAGGCTTAAAATTGCAAAGTAAGGTAAAAAAAACAGGGGGGGGGGGTGGTCGTCTTATATGTAACACATGACATACAAATACTAGATTTTTGAAATCATGTTCATCTTACATGCAGTGGCGGCACCAGCGGGGTGGCAGGGTGTCTTAAGCCCCCCACCGGACAGGTCAAGCCCCCTCCCCCGAGCTCTCTCCTATCGTCCAGAGAATTCCTACCTACGAAGGATACCAGCGATGCTATTTGCACATTCAAGGGATTTGAATTTACCGGTCACCATAAAAGTACGTTTTCACTATGGATATAACCTCTCTGTACATGTACTGTATACCTATTGCTGATGGATTCACTGCTATTCAACACTTCCTAGACCGTGACAACCGTATCCTGCTCTACCTCCACCATAATACGACTTGCTGAACTCGTTCTGAAAATCACATCGTTTGAATTCAATGGTAACCAACTACCAACAAATATCCAGTGTCGCTATGGGAACCAAAATGGGACCAAGTTTCGCTTGCTTGTTTGTTGGATTGTTGGAGCAACATATCTTTGAATTGTATGATGGCACCAAGTTCGATATGTTTAAACTCTACATTGACGACTGCGTGGGAACAGCATCCTGTCACTACGACGAACTCACTCGCCTTATATCCTATGTTAATGACTACCATCTGGCAATTAACCCTTTCGCTGCGTGAAAATAATTTATTTTAAAATTGTTCCTGAACTGCAGGTGCCCTCTATAGTTGTTTCTATGAACTGGAGGCGATTTTTTTTTCAGTACGAAACATTTGCATGAAACTCCACTAGGGCCGTCTCGGATTGATTCAACTTGAGTTTGATATACGAAAAAGAGCAGGCACTTCGCAATGTCGTGACGCTCGAGTATTCTATTACCTTTACTGTACTGTTCTTTATTTACCTACGGCAAGCCTATAAAATCTTACCGATTTATGGGATGTAGGCTACGTCTGTAACTAACTGTGAGCTTCTTGTATGTTTGTTATCAAATGTACTACAACAACAGCTAGTATCCCCTTCTATAGTAGTACCAGTGATAAATAGGTACATCTATCAAAGGCTAGAGCAAAAGAGGCTAAATAATGGGCCTAGTGGAACGGCCTAGTTCCAAGCTGAGTTAGGTCCTACCTGCTAGCCCCTCTCCCCCCCCACCCACCTTCCGCCAGACTAGGCCCCTAGGTTCCTAGGCCTGACACGACAGTCACGCTTCGCATGCCATTGACTGAAATTTTGAACAAAATTTAAAACATGAAATTAAAATGGGACAATGAGTGAAAAAATAATTAATATAATAAATTAAATATATCACATTAATGAACTTGGCCTAAGCCTTGTAATGTAATTAATATTAAATAATAACAATAATATTAACAATAATAATAATTATAAATAACCATATATAATTTCGCCATTAATTAACTTAGCCTAAGCCTTGTAATCAAGAAGCCTTAGGCCTATAATCCAAACTCCCTGCCTTAATTTTTAGTAATTCTAGGCGGAAGCAGGTCAACTCGGCCCCAAGTCAACTCGGCCCCAGTCATCTCAGCCCAAAGTCAATACGGCCCCATGTCAACTCGACCCCAGGTCAACTCGGCCCCATGTCAACCAACCCCAAGTCAACATGGCCCCAAGTCTATATTGTTAATATATTATTAGCTATTTTATATATCTTTGTATAATTTTTATTAATATCATTTTAATATTATTTTTATTAATGCAGTTTTAATTATTGTAAGTGCATGTAAATGAAACGAAATAACAAAGGCAACGATTTAAGAACACTTTAATTTTGGCTTTGCATTCCTCTTGGTAAATATTCAATAAATACCGTACGCAGTAAATTAGGGCCGAGTTGACCTGGGGCTGAGTTGAATTGGGCCGAGTTGACTCGAATTCGTCATGACAGATTAATAAGCAATTATCCAAAACCGCGGCCAACTAAAAAATTAAAATGTGCACAGTATGTAACTCAAATTGGGCCTAACACTTTTTATTATTCGTGCAGCAAAATCAAGTAATACATATTTTTTTAAACGACCCATTATTTTAGAATGGCCTGTGTTTTTTTTTCAAAATCAGACAGCGAGCAGCAATCCTGTATCTCAGAAGTTTTGTAGACGTTTATCTTTGGTTGATGACCTTTTGACCTCCAGAATTGCGATTTTCGAGTTGAGTCAGTGGAGTTTCATGCAAATGTTTCGTACGGAAAAAAAAATCGCGAACTGGTGATTTCTACTGAATTATTTCTACTGAATTATATGGAGTAATGACTAATTGTTGCGAAAAACTCATCTTGCAGCGATTTGTGGGAATTTTTTTTTCACGATTCTGCCAACAAACATGGATTTTTGTCTGTTTTAGAATAGAATGATGAAAATAATTCAAACTATTGATTTTTTTTAAATTCATTTTATGTATCATCACCATTATCCAGTGAAAAAAAAAAGCATCCCATAAGAATTTCTGTCTTTTTTTTGACAGATTTATGAAAATATGGCCACCCCAAGGTCACAATGCCACCTAATTAAAAATTCCAATTTCTATTTTTTCCAATAGGCCAACCTTTTTCCCACCCCAACACACAATTTCACAATAACCTCTTTTAGTCTTTTTTTGGCATTTATTTAAAAATAACCTTCCTAAAAAAGGCCCAGCAGTGAAAGGGTTATTAAAGTTCACTTTTCTACCACCAAAGTTGCATTCCTGGACATGGAACTATCTATATCTGATAATAGTATGTCAACTACCATCTGCTATAAACCAACAGATGCACATACCTTCGTATAATTCATCTCATCCCAGCTCATGTAAACAAGGTATTCCGTATTCACAACTACTGCGACTACAAAGAATTTGCAGTGATGACCATGACTTCTCTAATCAAGCTGCCAAGATGATGTCATTTTTTAATCAAAGGGGATAGCCTAGCCTACTGTACATCTGTCACTAATCAAGCTCTTCATCATATTACTGGCACGAAACGACGCTCTGAAACCAACTGCTGCTTCATCTACTGACAGAGTTCCACTTATTATGACATTTCACCCAACCACTACCAAAGTTGCAAGAATCATCAAGAAAAATTACAACATAATCCAGATAGATCCATCCACTAGAGAGATATTGCAGCTTCCTCCAATGTGCCTATTGCCGTGATGCCAGTGTTCGCGACCAACCTGTGCACACCTCGCTTCAATCACCCTCTGAAAGGCCAAAAGGTTTGACTGCTTCTTGTCTTCGATCGAGGTGTATAAGACATGTAAACACATTATATCACTTGATGAACTTGTCATTACAGACTCTTTTAGTTGTATTTCTACTAATGTCATTTATGGCATAATTTGTAACTTGATATATACAGGAGAGACAAAAGGTCGTATTGCTGATCGTTTTATGAAACACCTTAGATCTATAATATGCTTACGAATGCCTGGTTTACCAGTTGCTTCTCATTTTTCTCATAACCATAAACAGTGACGATATACAAATTACTGGTGTTGTTTTATGTAAAAGGATCTGATATCTCTAGGAAAGAATTAGAGCAGAAAATCATATATAAATTTAAGGCACGTTACATCCTGCCGGCATTAATGTTTCTTTATATTAATTTATGTTCATTGCATTATATATCCATATTCTCATATTTATATTTATTTCTGCATGTTAGTTTCTGTCTGTTAGTTTACATGACTCATTCGATTGCTACTGTATTGTTTTTTGATTTGATTATGTTCACACCTGCTATTCTTTTTCTGTTAGCTTGTACGCTATTCGTTTTCGCTCTCAGTCACTCATCCTACAGTACGTCTGCATTGATTGTACTTATTTTTGCTTTTCTCTATCAGTAACGACAGTACTGACAGTGGCAGTGCCAGCATCTGAAATCTGTGGGGAGGGGGATGCATGTGAAGGGAAAAGTATGATTTGGGGGTGGGGGTGAAGGTCTCCATCGAGAACAAAATGGGCATGGTCAGGTGTTGATTATAATGTTTCAAAAGTGGAGCTGCTGAAAAAATTACAATTTAGGGGTTTTAGAGGCTTATTTATCAATTTACTATACATAGAGAATACACAATGTTTTTTCTCCCTGATAAGTTGTGGTTTTTCTTTTTTTAATTGGGTGGGTGGGGGGAGGAAATTTCCCCCGGTAGCCGTGCTACCACTGGAAATAATTGGATCAACAGACCTTCAAAACCTTGTAAATAACAGGGAACTACTGTATGGAAAAACTTTGTTGAGGGCGCAGTAGCAAAGCCTATCAATGGCGGACAAACGTAATAGATACTGTAGATGCGCATCCCCCTATACTGTACTGTAGATATAGAAAAGCCAACCCTCTATCAATTATCCTGCACCTCATTATGCTCGATATATATAGTCTTCGTCTTTAGCCTTATGTACTGGAACTAATAGCCTATTGTACAATGCAACACTACTGAGCTTCTTCAAATTTTCATTTACTCATATTTCCCGTATTACACGGCACTTGTTTGAAATAAATGGAATATTTTTTATTGTAATTTGTAAAGTTATTACTTATTTCTAAATATTCAATATTTCAGAATATGAAAAAGATTGTGTGATCGTCAAGCCATGAGTACACCACCACTATGCACCTTGCATGCAACAGGTAAGGAAATGATTTTCTACTGTAATTCTAAGAAAGTGAACATTACTTGTTAATACAGTACTTCGATTAAAGTACCAGGTTTAAAATTAATTCTATAATAAGAGAGAAAAACAGAATAAATTTCTTACTATGATCATCTAATCATAAATTTTCTAATTAATTAAATTTTATAATAATATTAACATTTTTAAGATATTGGTGAAAATTTTATTAATTTGTTACTATTTCATTTATATTAAATTAGTCTGGTATAAAATGTTGGAAAGCTTATTGCAGTGCTTCGTATACAGTATGTATTAAGAAAGGCATTAATGACCAGATTAGATTAGATTTCTTTAAAAAATTTTGTTTTATAAAATTGATTTGCTTCTTTAAATCCATTAAATAATAATTAAAAACTAGTTAATTGATTGTGATCATGGAAGTAGCTTGATGCCTACTGTACAAGAATAACTAATAAAATTCACCAAAGATCGTCAAATATCCATAGCTTTCTTGGCGGCCTTTGTCCACCAGCCTAGAGACTCGCTTTGGGCAGATTTTGGTACCATCACGCAGATTGCATATCTAGGGGGTGAGCACACCCCTCCAAAAAAGTCATGCATCCCCTACCCGATCTCCCCCACCCCCTCTCAAGTTGCACTCACCCCTAAAAATCACAGTCAAGTAGTTAAAGATCCTTAAAATCACCTTACTGTACTGGAACTTAGCACATTATGCAATGCAACACTACAGAACTTCTTCAAATTTACATTTACTCATATTTCCCCTATTTACACAGCACTTGTTTGTAAATAAATTGAATATTTTTTATTGTAATTTGTAAAATTATTACTTATTTTTAAATATTCAATATTTCGGAAAAACTTATAAGCAATTAAAATTCTACTTGCATATTCAAAAGTTAAATTTGTTAAGTCTGTATATTATGTATCTTGTAAATGACTGCTGTAATCTTATTTAAGTAGATGATATTATTGTAATACTTCGCAGTTATATAATTGTGTAATTGCACTATCATATAATTCTTGTTCTCTATATTTTCCAGGAAACACAGGCACATGTTTATTGTGGATTTTCGAAGACAAGCATTCAGTAAGAGTTTGTTATTGCATGAAGCAGATAAACAATTGGATGTCCAGTCAGATTTGTTGGAAGATTGGATAACTAAAGTTGATAAACTGGGGCAAACCTAAGCTGTATAGAAGGTTGAGCAAAGAAATACATTGTGGGAAATCATTACTGATTAGTTTGAACCCTGGTAACTGAAGCTATAGCAACATCACACTGAGAGAAAGCGTGGAAGTCAAATTTTAACTATAGAAATGAAGAAATGAACTTTGAGAAACAGACTAATTTATTTGAATTATGTAGTGTACAGTAATACTGGTACTTGAAGCTTAGTGAACTCTGATGAATAGAGATGAAGCAGATAAATTGTGGAAAGTCTAAAACCACAACAGACATTTGTTGTGCATTCATAGAATGAATGATTATGAATTGAAGTACTATTTGCCAAGTGAAGTTTGTGATGTATTAAGTAAAGAAGTGTTGACCTTTTTAAAGTACTGAAGTTTTTGTCTGATTCTGGACCTAGTTAAAAAGAATGTTGGTCCAATTCTGAACTTAATTTAAAAGGTTGCTTCTTCTGGACTTAAAATGACTTATAGATAAAATTCTGAATTTTAGTTAAAATGTTGGTCCAATTCTGGTCTGTAGAGTAGTGTAAATTATTGGTCCTATTCTGGACTTAGTTAAGATGTTGGTCCAATTCTGAACTTTCAGTTAAAATTCTGGAATTAGTGTAAATAACTGGTCCTATCTTGGACTTAGTGTAAAATATTGGTCCAATTTTGGACTTAGTGTACGTGTAAATGGTTGAGTTCTATTCTGGAATAATATAAAATTCAGGACTTAATGTAAATGGTTGAGTCCTATTCTGGAATAATTTAAAATTCAGGACTTAGTGTAAATGGTTGAGTCCTATTCTGGACTTTAATAGTGTACATATACAGTAAATGGTTGAGTCCTATTCTGGACTTAGTTAAATTAATGTAAATTGTTGAGTCCTATTCTGGACTAATTTAAAATTCAGGACTTAATGTAAATGGTAGAGTCCTATTCTGGACTTATTAAATATTCTGGACTTAGTGTAAATGGTTGAGTCCTATTCTGGACTTAGTTAAATTAATGTAAATTGTTGAGTCCTATTCTGGACTAATTTATAATTCAGGACTTAATGTAACGGTAGAGTCCTATTCTGGACTTAGTTAAAATTCTGGACTTTAGTGTAAATGGTTGAGTCCTATTCTGGACTTAGTTAAATTAATGTAAATTGTTGAGTCCTATTCTGGACTAATTTATAATTCAGGACTAAATGTAAATGGTAGAGTCCTATTCTGGACTTAGTTAAAATTCTGGACTTAGTAAATATTCAGGACTTTTAATGTAACGGTAGAGTCCTATTCTGGACTTAGTAAATATTCAGGACACATTCTGGACTTAGTAAATATTCAGGACTTATGTAAATGGTAGAGTCCTATACTGGACATAGTTAATATTCTGGACTTCGTGTAAATGGTAGAGTCCTATTCTGGACTTAGTTAAAATTCTGGACTTAGTAAAATATTCAGGACTTAATGTAACGGTAGAGTCCTATTCTGGACTTAGTTAAAATTCTGGACTTGAATAAAACTAATTGCAACAACATTTTCATTGTACTACAACTCTTTTGTAGCGTAATGTATTTCAAACAACACATACAATCCAATAAATGATAACGAAACTTTTTTGAAAATTTCGGCAGCATTTCGCGCATTAAGACAGTTGGGATTATCCAAGCGGAAGCGATCGCCTATCATAGGCGATCGGCTGGCGTGGAACCTACGCGCCACCCACCACCCTTGGCCCCGCTGAAAGATATATATGCCTCTCAGAAGTTGCTCTGGACTTGGTGTCAGTTCTCTAGTTTTCCTGAGTTTTGCAGTTTCAAGATGATTTCAATGAATATTCATCATTTTCTGCCTGGTAATATGGACTGCTGGTCTGGTTGTATATGCAAATGAATTCACTGTAGCAAGATCTGTAATTAAAAAACATTTTAAAAAAAGAATATTAGATTTAACCAACAAATATTTGGACTTTTCTTATTTTTTTAACTTTTTAAATAATTGCTAAATGACATGTTTTTATTTATTGAGAAAAATACTACATTTAATAACTTTATATAAATTTAACACCAACACCAGTTTGATAAAACCTGACTATAATATATCCCAAAGCAATGCTGGTTTAATGTACAGACCTTTCTTGGATAGTTCACAGTGAACTTTCCAGAATGGGGATTTACACATTGTAATATAGCAAACTCAGATATGAGATTGTAAATGCCTGATGAAAGATGAAATATTGTACAAATATATATTCATTTGTAACAAAAGCAAAAAAAAATACATTTTACTGTTGCTGAAGATTTCATAAGTCAAATTATTACATTATTATTATCAGGGGCCAATCCAGAGACAAAACCACCTTAAGAGGAAATTTTTGTTTTCTTGACCCCAGAAATAATCTCAGTTTGGGCAACAGATAATTTATTTTTCTTTCTTTTTAGTTTCGAATAGGGGCGTTAAATCCACCTCAATTATGAAAATTACACAATCACTACCACAGTAAATCCTGCACAAAAATAAAGATATTACAACTTAACTAACCTAAATTATTTAACTATTAATATAAATGCTCATAAAAATCACTACATGTATATCAAAGAAAATGCAGCAATATATAATTTTACAATACAAATCACAAATTAACCATGGCTATAAAATAACACTCGATACTAGGCCTACATCACAATTGAAAGAAGTGGTTTGGCGCAGTTGGGACAGTTTGGTTTCCCGAACTTGACATCAGGATTTCAATCCCTCACTGTGTGTTTAATTTGTGTCCTTGAGCAAGGTACATTATCTACATTGCTTCTCTCAACACAGGAGTAGTTTATGGGTACCTGGTGGGGTTAAATGCCAAAAAATGCTGATAATGGGATACTCCCCCTGGGAGCTTGAGTTTATGTTCCATAGGCGTTTAATCCAATGACCGGAGGTAATAATGCGAAGCACTTAAAGGGGGCTCGTTGGCTTTAATAAGTGCCATATAAAAGTCTAACATATTATTAATTTGAAAAAAATGAAATATCTTTCCACTTACCAACATCTTGTATTCTTGTGTTGTTATCCACTTTCTCACATAGCAGAACATGATGTTTCTTATGGTGTCACGTAAAGCTACCTGCTATACCAACATAAAATCAAAAACATAAATTAAAATTAAATAGATAAACAAGTGTCAAAATAACATTTATGAAGCAGAATTATGCGAATACGTTGGTTTGAATTGCAAGCAAAATATATTTTAAAATGGTCTTATACGGAGGACCTTAGCTGGTTACCAATTTAAATCATGAGTTAAATATTTTAATCATTGAATTAAAATGGAATGATATTTTTTTTAAAGTGTGTTTAACCTTTTTAAGCTGGTGGCCAGTTTCAATCTGTTGAGTCCAGTGGTGGGCTGACATAATTGTGTCCTTCCACATTTTTTTCAACAACAGCCCCACCTTTTCTCTTTTATTATAGGTCTACGAGTCTTCCTAAATTTACAGCCCTATTTTATGTACCCTTTGTTTTTCAACATCAACTACGATAGGCTAATATTTTGTTAAAATGAGGGAATATGGTAGCAAAGGGGAAAGTGTGCAAGATTAAAAAAAAAAAGTTGTACCTAACCAACCAACTAGAAATTTTCCAAGCAAAATAATAATATTAATACGAGTCTAATCTACGAGTCTTCCTAAATTTACAGCCCTATTATGTACCCTTTGTTTTTCAACATCAACTACGATAGGCTAATATTTTGTTAAAATGAGGGAATATGGTAGCATATAAGGGGAAAGTGTGCCAGATTTAAAAAAAAAAAGTTGTACAGTGTTCTCCCGAAGCCGTCTTAGCCGTCAATTTTACCGGTAAAAATAACCAACCAACCAGTAAAAATTTTGAGTTTGTAAAATTAAAAAAACTATTGATTAGGCTTAGGTAGTCCAGGCTGGCCCTCTTAATAAATTAACATCATTCCAGTCTATATCTACACTATGAATATGTGTTGTTGTGTCTTCAAGTCATTTAACCCAACTAAAAATGGGTAACGTACCTCACATTGTGCGCATTGCAATTTTTTATGGACAAATTTACAAGTAAAAATTTTTCAGTTGGGAGAACACTGTTGTACCTAACCAACCAACTAGAAATTTTCCGAGCAAAATAATAATATTAATAATAATAATAATAATAATAATAATAATAATAATGCGACATTTATATAGCCATCAGAGCGCTTTAAGTGTTACACTGTTGAAAAAGAAAAAAAAATTGACCCATAGTAGAATAGTGTACCTTTTAGTAGCTTCGTTCTATGGATTACTTTTCAAAATTATGACAATTTAGGGGTTTCAAAGGCTTTAATTAAACGATTTTATGGATACTAATATCTAGAAAATACATTTAATTTTTTTCTCCCACACAAATTGCAGTTTCCTTCCCAATCGGAGGGGTGCGCCAGGATCCACTGCTGTCTCTTATACACATCTAGATGTGTATAAGAGACAGGAATGATGTTAATTTATTAGGCTTAGG